AAAGGAGTACCCATCACGTGGCCTAAGCATTGTCTTGAGGTCATATATCTTTACTTTAGTGTAATCCGGACCACCCCAAGGAGGTGATAAGAAGACAGTGTCTGCCTACAGCACCAGAAATATTGATGTAAAAGACATTAGAATAAAGCTAAATAGAAAGAAACAAATACATGAAAAAGATTTATATGTTCGTTCATAGACTTCAGCATCAATCATTAAGAGGCAATAACAAGAACTAGAAAAGATAACATCTAGAATTTACTAGTTGGCGCCATATCCATTGTCTGATATATCAAAATCTGATATGTTGCAAAGGGACACCCATTCAACGTAAAAGCCCCAAGTTCAAACCTTGGGAAAGGATGGTTGGTTTACACGATGGAATAACATGCCATGTAAAATAAGAAACTAAAATCTGTAAATATGCAATAAGCCAGTCTGGTACCTTCAATTTAGGTGCCAAAGCGAAAAAATCTCCCATTATGAAATCTATTCGGTCATTGACACCATAGACAGCAGCATTATGATATGCATAATCTATCTTCTTTGGATCGATATCAATAGCAATAACATGTGCGCTCCTGAAGAATCGCACAGTACAAGTCAATAAAGTATGGCCATAACATTCAGCACAACCTAACCAAGGGAAATATAGTTTCAATAGTACTCACCTCTGGGCCAATTGAATGGCATTCCCGCCAACTCCAGTAAAAGAGTCAACTACAATGCCACTCCCACATCGGGATGCATGATGCCTGGCTATAGGCTCTGGAGTGACAGAAAACCACCCTTCCTCATCCATTTTTATACCATCATCAAATCTGGAGAATAGCAGGTATCTCTGACACCAATATTTACCAATAATGGCAGAATTCTCCTCAAATATCTCTTGGAATTGAAGTTCTGTACAGAGGAATAAAAGTTCAATGAACCAGTTTTTACAATATACCACAAGGGATAAGAAAACCAGCAGCTGCAAATAGAACAGAAAAATTATCATTGGACATCACAAGAATTTGAGGACACGGGCAAACACACAAATACACAAAAGGTAAAATGGTTTTTACATAGTGTCTTCATGGTGTTAGGTTGATGTCAATGGCATGAATTCTTCACTAGACAGTGTAGCATACTAAAGATGCAGGCTCCAAATCATCTTTGGTGTGCTTTACTGCTTTAGGATTCACTTCAAAAGTTTTAATAATGTTTACTTCCACATTTCTGGTCTAATAGCTGGATCATATATCCAACACGGCTAACAAACTTCCAAAATATATTATTGAGAAAAATAACAAATTATTATGCAAACTGCTCATGAGAACAATAAGGAAAAAAAGTCCCTAAAATAAGAACTGAAGTCTGATCAAGCCCAATTGACCAGAGATACATTTCTTACATCCATCGTAAGACAATTCCAAACCGTTTCCCCAGCATTAGCTTACTTTAGCTAACAATATTACAAAAAGAACAGCGTTGAATTAATCCAATTAAAGGTAAACTTTGTGTTAAATGTTGAAGCAATGGAGTTCATCAATAAAAAGGAGGGAAAAGAATAATTGAATTATATACCTTCATCATCCCTTGCCAATTTCCTCTGAGCTCGTCTTCTTGTTTTCTTTTTCCCTTTTCTAATGGCAGCTACAAGTAGGGTATCCGCCTGATTTTTTGCTAAAGCAGCAGTTTCTAAAATAATATCTTCACCATCAGAAATTGTTCCAGGGGGTACCTTGGGCATGCTGCAAGCAAATTAAGAAGTCAGAAGCCCCTGAAATGGACATAATTAAGAGCATCATCCATTTGTAGTAGACGTTCAATAATGTAATACCAAACCGTTCAAGCATGTTGCCTCAGCCATTATGAATGTTAATGAAGCTGTGAAATTTCAGTTTTGCAAGATAAAGCAGTGAAACAACAGTTTCAGAAAAATTACTGCAGTGCATTAAAAGAAGGTACTAACCTGTCAACATTTTCCTGGGCATCTGATGTTAAGCGTAATGTAAGTTCAGCATCACAAGTACCACTGGTCTCACAATGTTCACCTGCAAGCTCAAAACTCTTGCTTACAGAAGGTATTGTCAAACTAGAAGCAGCAGCCACTCCAGTCCCATTTGAAAGCTCATCAGATAGCAGCTCTTCTATTCCACCACCATGTACAGATTTCTGAAGTGACTCAGCAGTCATTTCATTTGAATTATTATTAAGGTTATGAAATACTAGATTTTCCATGTCTGTGGGTGGGTCCCATGTAGAAGCTTGAGTTTTGAGATTGTAGAAGTAGTTCCGATTACAGTTGGTAAATCTTGATGAGCAAGGTTTGTTAAAAAAGCTTCGATAAGGGCAACCATGGTTGTCAGGTTCCTTGGTATGTTTTGAGGGGCTACACTACTATTCCTAGTCGATTTGGTTTTCACCGCCCACGTGGCCTGGAGCAAATTTCAGAATGCTGTTGCGGCTATTATTATCGGTCAGTCAGGTTCGGTTTTTTTCATTCATCCAGGACTGGACCCAACCCTTCTCTGGCCTAGAATGGAGGTTCAGGTGTCACTTTTTGCACAAATTTTATTTTTTGGATTCTCATAACGGATACTGATTTTATTTGATTGTTTTTTTTTGGTTTCTTTTGTTGTTTCTCAAGGCATTGACCCCAGTTTGATTAGCCTTTCAGATGATCTCTGTCTCCTTTTTATAACCCAAGAAAAGAAACATGGAAACCCAGCAATCATGAGATCAATTTTTCTATTGAACCAACCTTTCGGTAAACTCGATGGTCAATAACAAATACATCTGCTTTATCTTGTTAGCACATGCTCTCAATAATAATAACCTTCATAGCAGTTCCCATCAAATTCTTAAATTGTTGCATCTACATTCTCTAATGTAAGAACCTCTCAACAACTTAACTATAATCCCACCGTCCAAACCTTCCTGCACATAATAAGTTGTCATATCTCAGTCGCATAACTAACAAGGGGGGGGGGGGGGGGGGGGGGTGGACCTCATCCATACTTTCGTAGTCAATGATTCAAAGAGCAGTATGCATCATGCACGAGTCATGCTTGCGCATGCACACGAGCACTTGGATGGTAATGTTGGTGTGGTGTTGTTACAAACATAACTCGAAGTTAAGGCAAATTCCAAAAACACCAAATGCAAATGCAAACAACTTCAGACTTACATCAAACCACTACCTTAATGCAGCATTATATACATGGTTTTAGGCTGTTGGTACTTGGTACAACTCTGGGTGGTGTGGCCCAAAAGAGCAGAAGACATAAAGAGAACAAAGGCCGGTTGTTACAACCAGCATAAAGAAGAAGAGTTGAAAACCAGCTCACCTAACAATAAATCAGATAGACCGACAAGGTTAAAATGGTTGATACAAAAAGCATTTGTTTGGCTTTCAGAATAAATGTATTTGTCTTCTTTGAACATTTTACAGACATTGATTTTTGTTCTCCAAGCCATACTTTCTATACATCTTCCTCCGTTTCAGTCATAAGGCGACAACTTTGTCCTACATTATCCATGAGATTTGTTTTGCTTTTGAAGAGAGAATATGAAAGCACTTGCATTACTTTCATTCACAGTATAACCGAAATTGAGGCTGTTGTGAGGGAACCCATAAAACAGCATTAAAAATCATTAGGAGCTCAAATATCACGAAAGGTGACCCCGTTCTCCTTCACTGCTCCACACAAGTATGCTGATTTATTGTCCTCTGACTGCCGTCTCCGTGAAGTAAGCAGTTATTGCCTTCAGCTTTCCATTCAAAAAGTTTTTCTCAACCTAAGAGTATAAACATTTGCATTTAGCAACAAGAGAAGAAAATTCAACAGCACGAACATAAAACTGGTTCACAAATAAGAGAGGCAATACATTTCTAGACTACTAGATAGGATACCTCTGAAAACCAGAATTTAAAAGGAAATTGGGAACAGTTGATAGAAATTTCTATTGATAATAGACTTGCGTATGGAGCACAAAGAAAACAGCTGTTGAAAAATCAGACGAATTATTTCAGAAACTGATTTTTTCAAAAGTTTGCTCATAACTGAAAGATCCAATTTATTACAAGCCGAGGATCCTGATTTGAGCAAAGGAGCTCTGGTCAACATATCTAGTTTTCTAGTGAGCACATAAAAAATCTCTGTATCTTACATTAAAATAACAGTGTTTTAAGTGGAAAAACATACTCCTGTGGTGATACCTACTACATATCTATATCAATAAAGTTCACTGATGAATAAAGTTTAAAGATTACCTCTAATGACCAAGGAGGCTGTGCAGATAGAGATAATTCTGCCAATTGGTTGAGATCTACATGTCTAGGGAGAAACATGACAATTCTGCAGGCAATTTTCTTCGCAACAAAAAAAAGGAAATATCTGCAGGAGTAACAATTGGAAAGAAATTAAGACAACTCTTAAGAGGTACCAAGCAAAACTTAAATATTAGCTTTACGCAAAACTTTTCGGTAGCAGAAAAGGAGTAACCCAAAAAAAAAAGAAGCAAAAAAGCCAATTCAAAATTATTACCTTTTTGACGAAATACTAAGCTAAACAAAAAAAACACCAACTTCAAAAGAAAAAAACTAAAGGGTACCTTTAAGAGCAAGAGAGAATGAGTTTCTTGCTGAATCTATGAGCTGATTTTCGTCCTCTACTATATGAGCGTCATCGTTTTCTTCTTTTTGAACTGCGTATTATTGTTAAAGGGAAAAAGGAAGGGGGACAATGACAATGAGTGAGTGAATTTGAAATCTTTTTTTGGTTTATTCGTTTCTTTTTTTTTTTGTGCAGTTTCAATTTTAACTTTTTTAAAAGAAGCTAATAATGAGAGAAAATATTGAGAGTACCTTTCAACTTTTCCCCTTTTCTGAAGAGACGACTGTGCTTATGGACTGTTATAGCTTTGTTTGGATCTGGATCTGGTCCACTCAAACTCTCATTCTGATCTCCTCCTTCATGTCCTGCCAAATGCTGCAAAAAGATTTCACATTTCAAACATTATTTCTCTTTGTCTTTCCTTTTCTGGGAATTAAAAAATGTCATCTGCTCAATTGGATTAAGCAAAAAAATAAAAAAAAAAGCCATGCAAACTGATCAACAATGATCGATCACAGCGTACACTGTCATACATTGCTCTCTGCTTATGCATTGCACTATAAACTTGAGATTAAAATGAACAAAAGAAAAAAGTTAAAGGATTTGGCGAAGTTACTAAAGAGAGTTCGGAAGTGAGAGAATCATGGTCGTGAGCATCGGAAGCAAAAGAACAGCGATCGACACTAGCGGAAGCCGAAGAGAAGAGGCTGAAATTCGATTCCAGAGTGAATATAACGGAGTCAGGGCTCGCATCTCGAGCTCTGTAACCTGATGAACTCACCGAGCTTTGTTCTTGAAATCCTAGCTCCGCCATTTTCTTCAAAGCTTCACTTCTTCAGTCCTTCCTCCTCCTTTCTTCAAATGTCGGCCATTTTTCTTTGCTCATGTTTGTTTCTGTTTGTTTGGTATATAAGTATGGCGGGTTAAAGACGGGAGGCCCTTTTAAAACCCTTTTGTTACTACTTTTAATGTTACGGGCTCTCATTGACTTGGACCTGGGGATTTTGACTCTCATGAAATGACTGTAAAGCCCTTGGATTTATGATTATTTAGGTTTAATTATAAGGGTAATAAGGACTTTGGGATATAATTTTGTGGGAGGAATTGCGGGGGTTGTCACGTTCGAAGAGAATATTTTTTGATAAATGGACGTGATTACTCTTTTCGTGTAAGACAAATTATGGGCATTAAATCATGATGTCCACCATGTCAAAAAAACGATGCCGTTAGAGGAAAATTTAGGAGAATGTGGAAAAGTAAGTTGGAAATTGCCATTTTTCAAAAAAAGAAGAAGAAAGAATTGGACTTGCTTACCAAGGATACTAACATATTGCAGGCACAACCAAGCTGAAATTTCAAGTAAAAATCAATTATTCTTGTGTAACAATCACTAGTCATAATTGGGAGTATGGAATTGACAACAAAAAAAGGCCATTAAAATAAAGTTGAAATTGACCATATGATTAGAATTCCCATTATATGACTTGAAAGAAAGTAGTAATAGAAAACATTAGACCTTTTTCTTTGATGGGTATGGGTCAATTCCCATCATAACTACTAATGGTCACACCCAAATTAAAACCCCACCAAGAGACTAGTACCCAAACCTACAATCAAGCAATCTTTTAACTGTTTAGAACAAAGTCACACCGCAATTTGCTCTTTTAAATCTTTTACCCTTTGCTCTGTTTGTCTGAAAGAAGAGCAATGTTGGGACATGGTTCCGTGGAACAAAATAGTAAGTGTTAGGAAAGTTAGTCAACGGAGAAATGTTGTTGGCACTGTGTTTTTCCTTTGTATCCTCATGCAACAGCAGAGAGTTGAAAGAGCTATGGGCGGTGAGCCGGTGATCAGACCTTTTCGTCCCCATCGAAAGTGCCGCACTGCGTGGAGAAATCATCATCTTTTGTTTTTTTTTTTTTTTTTATTTTGCGTCCTACACCTTAGCGTACGTGGATATTGCAACAGTTGTTTCATCTCAGGCTACGTTTTTGTCAGGGAAGCTTCCTACTTCTTTACACGTGATGGGTCAGGAGATATAAAGCAACAAAATCCAGGCTCTTTTCTTCCTTTCTTTCTCCATGGAAACATTTCTTACCATCCGTGATACTTTACATCCTTTGCTTGTCAAAGAATTTATTGCATAAATTGACGTATCGTAGCAGAACAAAATGAAATCCTCGAGAAATGGTGGATTCACCATCCCCACAAAAATTGTACACACGGTTGTCAGCTGTACAGCCTGGAGCCATGCCAGTCAAACCAAACCGGGTAATTCTGCTACAGAAATAATTAAGAATATACATGCACTAGGTGGAAAAAACACAATAGTCGATTTAACTACAGAGGCTCTCTTGTCTCTAGGCTTGGTAATGAGGGAGTGCATGTGGGATTACATTGGTAAATCTTGATGAGCAAGGTTTGTTAAAAAAGCTTCGATAAGGGCAACCATGGTTGTCAGGTTCCTTGGTATGTTTTGAGGGGCTACACTACTATTCCTAGTCGATTTGGTTTTCACCGCCCACGTGGCCTGGAGCAAATTTCAGAATGCTGTTGCGGCTATTATTATCGGTCAGTCAGGTTCGGTTTGTTTCATTCATCCAGGACTGGACCCAACCCTTCTCTGGCCTAG